AAACACCAGGATATTGTTGGAGATAAGAAAAGACAAAAGGGTCAATTGTGTCCCAAGAGATTCCCAGCTCCTGGTTTTAAAAGCGCCTCTCAAGACAGCTCACAGAAGCCATGCTGCTGACCTACACTGCTGTGCAGGCATCTGCCCACTCACCATTTGCTGCTGGCTATATCAGTCCCATTTCCTACTGCCCCTCACAGTATCCATTTCCCTGTCCCTCCTACTCAACTTGTTCCTTCACCTTTCCCACTCCCAGCACTTCTTGCCCTCTGGCTCCAGCTCTTATTTCTGCATCTGTGCCTCCCATACCTCACCCACTACCTTGCATCCAACCTCTCCTACTCCTAAACAAACCAAGAGGAGTGAAGAACAGAGGAAAATAGGACGGCATACCACAAGACAGGTAAGGCAGGAAGTAGAGAAGAAGCAGTCAGATTATAAAGAACTTGGGTCAAGAGAAGGTCATGAGGAGTAGTAAAACCGTGAGCAAACAAGAGACGTATCAGCACACAGCTGCCCTGGTATTACACCCTCTGTAGTCAACTTCTAAAAGCTACCGTTGACAAAGTATCTTCCTATCTGGACCTGTGTCCTGATCCAGTTCAAGGATGCTTCAGTGCTTTAACTCTGCAGCTGCATAAGAAAAGCAAGGGATCATATTTTACACTAGTAAATTATTTCCCAATTCATCAGTTTCCCAACATCAAGGTATATCAAGTTACATACAGAATCACAGAATTGTTAGATTTGGAAGGGGTCTCTGGAGATCCTCTAGTCCAACCTCTCTGTCAAGGCTGAGGTTTACCCAGAGCAGGTTACACAGGAATGCATCCAGATGAATTCTGAGTGTCTCCAGAGAAGAGACATGACTCCAGGACCTCCCTGGGCAGCATGTTCCAGTGCTCTGCCATCCACAAAAAGTTCTTCCTCACGTTGAAGTGGAACTCCTTGTGTTTTAGTTTATGGTCATCATCCCATGCTCACTGCTTGTATGTGCAGTGCACCAAAGCCCAAGAGCATTATCCCCAGATAACATGGCCATTACTATTGTCACATGAGCTATACGCAAATATAATTATTTTACTTCTCACCATTGAAAAGTTCTTTCAAATCAAGCATGCAGCTTCCTGATATGCTTCACCACGTGGTGTTTAAACAGCTGTCCCAGTACCCTGCTGAAAAGTGCTGTGTCAAGAGTGCAAAGGGCACGGCTGCTGCGCAGGAGAGCAGCATAAAGAGAACGTATGGAAACATGGCAGGAATCAGAGCTGGGATGAAATCCCACCCAACAGAAAGACCTAGCTCCAGCAGAGGGTATCTATCTGCAGCCATGACTGATGCTTTTCAACTCAACCTGGCTAGCAATGCTATGATGAACCACAGCAGCATCAAGTTAATACAACTCACCAGCTCCTAATTAAACTACACTACATTGCTAATCACTGTGTATCAAGTGGTCTTTTGCAGCATGCCTGATTCCAAGGAGGGTGGACCAATCAATTCTCTAACGAGTCCTCACTTCTGGAAGCACTTGCACAAACACTCTGTGGACATTCATGTAGCCACAGTATATAAAATTAAGTAACAAAAGCCAAGTTTGGTTCAGTCTAATTTTTTATTTTTTTCTGATGATATAGAGGAAAAGGATGTCTATACAATATGCACACCAGCACTCATCAAAATAAATTTTGTGAAACCAAGCTGATGAAATACCTGCTCTCATGGGATATACCTATATTCAGCTCTCTAATTGCTTCTTTCATCTCTCCACATGAAAAGCAACACTTCATCTCATTTCTTCCAAGATTTGTTAGCTTAGGAAAATTAATCCCTTTCACAGGATTTGATAGGTGTGGATCAGTATCACTTACAAGATAATGAAATAGACATCATTAATAGCATGCAGTAGCTGTCTACAGGATGAGAAAGACTGCAGTAAAGCAGGCATTTTCCCTCAAACTTCTTTTGTATTTGGTTCAAGTGCATCAACCACTTGCATTTTCACCAAACGCATGCACCTTTCAGTTCTTATCAGTCAAGGCATTCTCCTTCTGCTCCTTTCTTAGCTGAAGTCCTAAGTTCACATTTAACATTCATTCAATCCAAAAGAGCTTCTTGCTGCTCTTCTTGGAGTTAAAACCTTTGTCATTTGTAAGAGACAGGAAGGTCATAATAGCCTGAAAAACTTTAAGGATCACCAAAGGACTTTGCCCATTTTGGCAAACTGTATAAAGAAGCAACTCTTCATCTGTGACCACCAAGCTCTCCATCCTGCCCCTCCTCCTTGAAAATGACTCCATGACTTCCTGGAAATTTGGGCAGTAAGTCATGCAACCTGACTGGACCTTGAGATAAGATAAAGGTGGTACTATTTTCTGATTATCTCAGACTATGAAGAGAAAAAGCAAGCTGGGGGAGCACTGGTGTTTATTACCAGCTGCAAACCAACACAGAAACTGAGCTGAAAATTAGCTTGTCTCACTGGGTCCAGCAGGTGGAGGCCATAGCCCAACCACTTAAGATAGGAAGCCCACCAACTCAAAAGAAGAGAAAGACTGAGCATGGGACTAATTAGCATTGGAAGAGAGGGAATCATTTAACCAATAGAATAAAAGTACTGTGTAGCCAAATTAACTGATTCCTTTGTTTGATAAAATGTATAAATGGTGAAAGTCTGGAGCGACCTCTGGCTCCCACCACTGAGAAGACAAGAAGAGGACCAACTGGATGTTGTCTGCATCTGTGGGTGGTGATACCTTTTTACTTAATCTGTTACTCCCTTCTTATTTTCTTATTTCTCTCATTCTACCCCACATTTACCGTTAAATAAAATCCATACTATGGACTTGGACATATGGTCTAGTCTGTACCTTAATTTGGGCAGAGACATCTCTCTAATAATCATAATTACTGGACCTTAACCATAAATACTGCATCACACTTTCCTTTCTCACCTGTTCCCTTGTCATTCTTACTCACATTTTTGGATCTGTAAGTTTTCCATGGCTACTTCTTGTAGACTGTACTGACCTACCAAATGCCTAAAAACTTCTACTGCTGAAATGTGTAAATCCTTTTGACTTGATGTCACTAAATTAAAGTCTTACTGTCTTACACTAAGTCTTATCCCAGATGTTTTTAGCTGAGGCTCACAACTGAACTTAGCACATGAATTATGAAACTGGTCATTTTGAAATACTGGGCATTCATCCTGCAGTCATGAATCTGAGGTAAGAAAAGTCTGTTTCTGAGACCACAACAAAAAGGAGATGAAAATCCATTTCTTTGCCAAAGGTGAGAATTCTCAGACTTTCAAAGTTCACAAGTCACCTCTTGTCCTTCTGTTAAGCACCTGTGACATGAAAGAACTATGAATACTTCCATCAAAATNAGACCAAGGGAACAAGATGAATTTGACTGAGTTCTGATTTATCTGTAAGCTCCTTAAATGCCATTAGAGGACGTATTTGAATCAAATGAAAGCAAATTATTAAGATCATTATCTACCTTCTAACGGATTTTTTTAATCAGAGGAGCCAATAGCACCCTCAGCACTGATCCCCCCCAGTGACCACAAACTCTCTCATACTTTCTATCAAAGAATGAATTTTCCTAAGCAAAAAATACTTTGTTTTCTTTCCTTTTGAAGAAATAAGGAAAGTATTTTAAGTGTATGGGTATACGAATTTCAGATTTATCCTAACCTGCATTTGAGAGACAAAAAAATGGTCCCAAATACCCTATTTATGGGGGGATGAGTTCACTTTATCGTAATTCTTTCATCAGAAATGAGACACCATATCTCCATGCTCATTCATTATGTAATGCCAAACACTGAAAAAATTCTCAGAATATTCTGTGTCATCTTTCCAGCTCAGGTACAGATGCCAGAAAAAGTAGTATGTGTAAACAGAGTTCACACCAATTAATATCAAAAGTATACTTTAAAATGTAAAGACTAGCTCTCACACCACCCAAGGCTAGCCCAGATGGCATTCAGATTTTACAATGATACAGTTCAACATCAGTATTTAAAAAATTAAATAATTTCTCTCTGTGCTCACAGACCATAATTTGGAACAAAGTTGTCATCCTGCTTTCAATTTCCTGGCAAAAAGACAAACCAGGCTGAAAAATTGCCCCAGGTTGAAACCTTGATAATTGCTAGCAGAATTCAATCTGAAATTTGTCACACTCCTCTTAGTTATAAAATACATCTTAAGAAGTAGCAATACATAAAAGCTCACATTTTCTAATGGTTTACAAATATTACACTGTGAAGCCAATGTTTACCATAATGACAAAATACAAAGAAAAAATCTGTGTCTTTGAAAAGCATTAATAAAGACCACTTCCCTTCGAAAGCAAGCTGGGTTCTTATTTTACAGCTTAGAGTAATAATATGTATTATAGTGTACTAAACAGCAACTTGTAACTTATGATTATGAGTTAGGAGGAAGCAAATAATACTTGTGAGACAAGAAAGTCTGGAGCAATTGACAAAAAAATGAAGGGAAATCCTGTTGAGCTGGATTAGGCCATGGAATTACCCAAAGGAATGCCTGTTTTTGAGCAGTTTTCACTGTCTTTGAGCAGTGGTGAGAATTCTCTGCCCTGCAGGGGGACCTCTGATCCACTGAATGGAGCTGGCTTGAACTGGGGCATTTCTGCTCTGCCCCTCCTGAGTAATACAGTTGTAGCCAGCAGCATGAGGTTGGGTGAGCTTTACTGTGGTTCTGAACACCCACAGGTACAAACATTATTAATGGTCATGTTACCCAGGCTTTTATAAACTATGATGACAGCGCGTACCTTGGTGGTTTCTGGCTACAGCAAATTCAGGTAGAACTGTCTTGCACCTAAGTCATTTTTATAAGCATGCATATAGAAAAGAATAATTAAAATTGTCCTTCCTTGCTGCCCTTGCTTGGATTCAAACATTTGGTTATTAACAGAAATTGTATGTGCAAAGCCTTCCTTTTACTGACAAAGGTATCTCCTTAAGGAGAATTAAATTTTTCAAGTGGCTTGTATTTCTTACCTGTATGGTAAAATGTGAGGAAAAACAAAAGCACTCCCATGAACACATTACTCAAAAAGGTGACAACTCCACAGCTTATTCCTTCTGGAACAGGGTAGACTGTCTCCACAAAGAGCTCAAAGAATATTGGTACGCTGCTGTTGAGGAATATACCCAGCAAAATGCAGGATGTGTACAGTGTAGCTATAACAGAAACAAAACAGTTATTAATTACACGATGGTGTTTTTTTCCCCCTATTCAGAGCTGCCAAGAATACTAATACCTGAATAACCAAAAAATGCATAACCTTATTTTTATCCCCTGTGTATCAAAAAGAACATCACATCCCACCAGCTTTAAGAAGAATGAATGCATTGATTTGTGGGGAAAAAAAAAGTCAGAAGTACTGATTGACTTATTTATCTATTTATTTAAACAGAATCCATGAAGATCCATTCAGTGATTTAGACTCCACTTGTAAGTAAAACAAACAACAAAATTATGAATGCAAAGTATCACCTACTAGTTTGATTTACCTCTGAAAAAAACAGAAAATATTGTCCTACACACAATTAGGACAGGGAGCAATTAATGCACCAAATTAGAAATAGACATGGATTAACCTTTTGACTTAGCTCTAAAGGTCAAAACTAATTTTGCTTCTATTTTACAAATAAATACTAATGATCTACCAGCTATGAAGACATTAGTATTCAGCACAGCCTGAGCTGCAACATGTTGAATCCCTTCTGGCTTCAAAAGGAAATGAAGGGCACCCAGCTCCTGACAGGAATGGGACAGATTTGATAATGCAGATTATTTGCTGCTCTACAGCAAATTGTTTTTCTTGGACAAACCAACAGAAGAATGTGACATTTCTTCAGCAGCCTCAGCTATTTTGTTCTAAAATTTCTGCCAAATACTTCACAGTACCTAATACAGAAGCTTAATATGCCTATATTATAATTTAATAAATGTATTATAGCTATTTATGGAAAAGAAAAAACAACACAAAACTTCACAAAAATTTAGTATCTATTTATAAATTTGTTTTTTTCTTAGTGCTGTCTTAGAGAAGATTTCCTGACTTACAACCTCAATAACCCAAGGTTACTGACCAAATAAAAAGACAAAAAGAAATTATCGGAAGGATTTAAATAACAAGAAAACCCTGAAATAATTTCTGAGGTTCCCACCAAAAGACTAAGAAAATCTAAAGAAAAAAGTCAGATACAAAAGTCTTATGAAGTCACAGGTAAATTATTTATAGTGTCTTTTTGCTGCAGTGAAAAGATTATATGGTACAAAATCCTTATATTTTTTTTCTTATAAATATATATATCTGTACATATTTCAGTTTAATTTACGCTCTTTTTTCTTAGAAAGGGGAGAACAGAAACAGCTCTGCTTCATCTTTTGTTAAGCACTGCTCAAGATTTCAGCTGAGAAACTTAGGAAGCAGAAAATGTTCAGCTTAAAAAAAAATTAAATATCAGCTTTTTAAAATACAAAAAACTCATGGAAAAGAAATAAAGGCATTAAGAAGCAGATGGGGCTACCTATCACATCCTCTATTTCATGTGGTTTGCATCCAAAGCACAAGGACATTTCTTTCTCAACAGAGAATTTGTCTGGACAGGAAAAAGGAGGGAGAGCTGGCCCTGCTTTTTTGAATATACCACAATACTCTGAGCTGTTAAGAAAAACAAACAAATGCACACAAAACCAAAGAAAACCAACCCTCTCAAAAAAAAAAACATGGTAGTTTTTCCTACCCTTGAATTCTCCTGTCATAAACTGCATAATAAATCGAAGAAATTGATGCAAGATATGTCCAGGAGTTGTCAGAGAGGAAAGAAAAAACCCCACACAGTATTAGGATGCTCTTCCTAATGCTCCCCTCTAGCTAACACCGAAAACCTGATTCCCTAGTTGAAAGATCCATAGATTTTTGCTGCAAGTCCTCACCAGTATTTAAAGTTTCATGAGCCACTCTTTGAACTCCCATTTACCTCAAACACTGCTGCATATTGCTCTAACTCTCTCTAACTGCTGGCAGGTGTAGCCAGAATATCCAATCACACCCAGCGCTTTGACATTTTTGTATTGGCTTGAGAGACTAACACATAAATTAAATAGAACAATCTCTTAAGACAAATGAACATTTGCCCCTTATTACACTCAGTTGAAGATATCTATAGATAGACTTGTAACTTCTAGAGAACATTTTCAGAACCTCCCTCAAAGAAGAGAAGGTGGCACCTAGCTGTAATTCTGTATCAGAATCTCAAACAGTGGAAATAGTTGAGAAGCTGCTGAAAGCCACGACAGCACCACTGAAAGTGAAGCAGTGAACACAGCATCAGAAGCAAGACCTCTGCAAGAGTGCTGAAACATCTTCCATAAGGAGCAACAGCCAGGAAAGGGAAATCATGCCTCTGAACCGAGACAATGTCTAGAATAAACTTCCAGAAACTTGGAGTCACTGAGATGGAGGCAAAAATTAGCAGCCATTTAACAACTTCAGATTTTGTTTAATACAGTAGGTGCCAAGGTTTCCATAAAATGAATGAGCAGAAGATTTGCTAGTTTAAAATATGCCAGTTGAATGCCATCATTGCTCACCACTCACTAAAAGGTATTAAGATGACCAGACCACAAGTGAGCAAGGGCAGCAACTCTGTACCTGGGAAACAACACCCTCACCCTTCCTTGTCACTCACACAAACACAGCCACTGGCACACACCTCACACTGCCACACTGTGAGGAGCAAAGCAGCTTTAGCATTACCTTTTGGCTGCCCCAAAGTATTGCCTGCCTTGTGTGTGCACACCAAGAACTGCCAGCTGAATACCCGTGACAGCACCTCAGCTGAGATCACAGGTAGCACTGATAAAACAAGGTCTGTGTAGAGGTACAGGTACACACATCTTTGGAATTAATAAGCAGAAATGTCACAGCAAAAGGACAGACAGAATATAGCATCAGTAGATGCCAATTTAAGTTCTAACATCTAATGGAAATTATAGCTTTTAATTGGGAAACCACAAAAAGAAGCTCTGAAAATGAGGGTGATATGCATGTTTGAAAGCCTTCTTTAAATGGCACATATTGTAGTGATGGGATTTTTATTTCATGCATCTGTAAATCACCCCAGGTTTTCCTGAACACTATACAAATTAGCTTATTCCAGTAACTTGGCAACTGAGTCACATATCCAACTGGTCAACTAGACAAGAATTCAAAGATAAGATAAACAGTTCTAGAAAAATAAGTCACAGAAACAAGTAAAATCAGAGTTCAGAAGTGGGTTTTGGGTTTTATTTCACACACACTAAATAGCGTATCTCATATTCCAGCTCGTGGGCGACAGGACAGCAGGGAGATACCACCTATTAACAGGGACCATTTGCTTTCCATCACAGAGATCTTGTGCTGAACAAACACAAACAATTACCATGATTTTATACTGCAGAAGAACAGCTGCTGAAGTTACAGCAAATGTTCTTTCAATTAAGACAATCTTAATGACAGTCATTGGAAATGAATATAATGATCTGAAAGCACAGACAAAAAAAAAAAAAAGAAAAAAAAAATGATTCACCAAGAAGCTAACATTGTGTCCTAAAGAATAACAACTAACTTGGATAGGCATACACTGGAGAAGTGTGTCATGCTACTACTACAAAAAAAATAAAGCAACTTTTTCTTAGGAAAAGGAATTAATTAATTGCCCATGAAGTTATGTGCAAAGTTGTGTATCCAAGCCAATGGCAGCTATGGACATCAACAATGGAACTGGGCTAGGATTCTTAAAACATGACATTAATTGAAAGAGTTTAAAATATTTTTGTGTGCATGAAGCACCTATATCTCAGGCTGACCACTGCAAAAAGATCAGCAAAGGCAAAAAACCTCCAAAGCACAGCTGTTTCAGAGAGCTGGCCAGGAGCTGCTGCAGCAGGAGGCTCAAGCCATGTTTCATCATCTCATGTTCATGCCTGAGGCATGAGGTAACCCTTGCTATTCCCTCAGCACTCATTCTGCTGGCCAGGAAGGAAGCAAGGAATAAAATATGCCTTGATAATAGCACTAGAGATGTTGCCAGTTAGATGACTTGGGACTGATGGTGATACAGTGGCTTAGCAGAAAGAGGAGAAAAAGTGGCAAGAAGGAAGGTTCCTCACTGGCTTATCTCCTACAGGTCTTCAGCTACTGGATGGCAAAAATATTCCCATATCCCAGAAAAATACTTTCTCTTTTCCAAGCCACAAGCTGTGGCAAAAACTTTCTAAAAAACCAAAAATTTTCTAAAAAAAAAGGGGAGGGGAGGGGATGAAGTTAGGAATTCAGATAGGGAAGTGATTTAAATGGCAGCCTTCACTTGGTGTCCTCAGATGAGCTTGCAATGCAGCAGAAGGAGAATCAACTATCTCTGACATACAATTTCCCAGAATTTTCCAGGACATTCTGCAACATGTTTAGCAATTTACTCTTAAATTATACCATCATTAAATGTGTCACTACAGAGCCCGATCCAAACCCAAATGAAACTGATGGAAGGACCTCAACTGATGTGACTAGTTCTTATCTTATACATTGACACATGTATCTTGACTGATTTTTAACAAAGAATATGAAATACTACCATTTCTTTTAAAAAAAAAGTGGTTTTCAGATACATTTACACAGGAAATACTGTATCAAGTGCAAGCAAGTGGTACAGTATCTCCTTCCAAAGTCCTCTGCCAGAATCTCTTGAACTCTGTACATTTTGTAACAGTTCTCTTCTGAGACACACTCAGCCAAAACTCACACAAATTTTATATAAACAAGAGAGTAAATACAATGGAATATATTCTCTTGGGAGCAACACACAATTTAAAGCAAAACCTATGGAATCTAGGGCACTTTGTTATTGCCCATTATAACTGTATTCCAAACATCAAAGTGAAAGGATAATGCCTCATGTGGATGCAGGCTTTGTTCACTTCAGTGCTTCAGTATCCCCATGGCCAATTTGAACAATTCAAGTTAGTTGTTGCCAAAATCTAAAGTCCATTAAAGTAGAATGAAACCTCCCTATAATCTAACTCTTCCTACTGGCCATGGTAAGAAAAGTCATGGAAGAAGTAACCTTTAATTTTTCCATGAGAAATGTGACTCCCTTAAGGTAAGACAGTAAATTTTACTGTAATTCAC